ACTGTAGCTTTCCCCTGCGGTATCGGGAGTCCAGAATGCGTTCCACCTCGTACTCAGGCTCCCCCTGAACCAAAACTGGCTGCGGTCGGGGACGGTTCGGGTGGAACTCGTCGGGTGGGGCCACCGGACTCAGAAGGGACCTGTGGAAGACCGGGTGAACCTTCAGGGTTGCGGGCAACCGGAGACGGAATGCCACAGGCGAGACTTGGTCCACGATAGGAAACGGGCCGGTGAAATGGGTGTCCAGGTTCCGCAAAGGTCGAGAGGGGTGGAGGTGGCGAGTGGAGAGCCATACCAGGTCACCGACGTGGAGTTCCGGCCCCACCTGGCGGTGGCGGTCGGCCTGGGCCTTGTACGCCTCCTTGGCCTGGCGCAGTTGCTCCATCAATAGCTGTTGCTGGGACTGGAGCTCCTGAAGCCACTCCGTCACCGCAGGGACCGCGGATGCCGGCAGCACATCTGGAAACAGCCGTGGATGATAACCGTAACTGGCCTGGAACGGGGTCTGCTGGGTGGACGCATTCACCGCGTTGTTGTAGGCGAACTCCGCCAATGCTAGGTGGTCGACCCAGTCATCCTGCTGGTAGCTGCAGTAACACCGGAGGTACTGCTCCAGCACCGTGTTCGCCCGTTCCGTCTGGCCATCGGTCTGTGGGTGGTAGGCTGATGAGAGACAGACTCTGTCCCGAGGGTCTGGTGCAATGCTCGCCAGAACCGGGATGCGAACTGAACGCCCCGGTCAGACACCACACGCTCAGGTAGGCCATGCAGGCGGAAGACATGCTGAAGGTACAGCTGAGCGGTTTCCTTAGCTGTGGGTACGGATGGGCAGGGGGCACAGTGCACCATCTTAGTGAAATGGTCGGAGAAGACTAGAAGGCAGGTACAGCCACGAGACGGGGGTAAGTCCACTACAAAGTCCAGCGAAACCGTGTGCCAAGGACGTGGTGGGACTGGCAATGGCTGAAGTAGGCCGGGGGGGGTCGCCCGGTAGGGCCCTTGGCCCGCCGGCAGACATCACAACCAGCAACGTTGGCCCTGCCCCAGTTCAGCCGGCCCTGGAGGCGGGGACTCCTGTGCAGGCTGGGATTCCTCCGGTTCACCCTCTGAATCGGATTCCCAGGCCATCACAGTTCCAAGTCAAATAACAGAGCACAAAACACATGTGTATCTTTTACACCAATCATTGTTTTCTCATTTGAAATACATGAAACTGGTGGACGGATCCTTTTCTTGGTTATCTCTTCCATGTGTTTTATCCTAAGTCTTATTCTTCCCCAGTTGGTGTGCGTACCCCATTCTTCACCCAATAGATCTGTGTCCCACAGCATCCTATCCTTTCAATAACTTTTATTCCGTTAATTGTTCCTCCCCCCTCCGAAGTTTTGAAGAAGATGACACCCAAGAGGAGCCGATCACCCAATGAAACTACAAAACAATCATTTGCAGGGCACACCCCTCTCTGAGCTCCATCCTGTCCCTGAAAAAGCAGAATGCGTGAATCAAGAAACAAGGGGAAGGAAGGTTCATGCAAATGCAAAGGACAGAGTTATGTCCTCGCTTGAATTCCCCCAGTGTCAGGCATTTGTCATTGCTTGGCAAGCTTCAGAAATGAGAGTGATGGCTAATGATGAGACGACAGCAAACAGAGTCCCTGGTGGTCCGGACAGCTTGTTTCTCCTCCATTACACTGAGAGAGCCTGGCAGCTGGCAGCCAGAGACCAGCACAAGTTGAAGAGCCATCCTATGGAGCTTTCTTTCTGCCTTTTCTTTTTATCTCTTTGTTTGGATGCATAATGAAGTTGAGACAAAATAGGGAAACGAAACAGGCAGGGGGACTTGTTCTGCAGCAGCTACAAACCTGTGAAAAGTTAGCAATGCAGACAAGAGTCTCAGGGTAAGAGACACCTGGGGAAATGCCGTGTCTCGTGCCATGTCCTTGTAGTGTGTGGCATGGTGAAGGAATAGGACTTTAAGCCATTTTGTGAATACTTTTTATTCAGCAAGGTTTATAGCCTGACTACTTGATCAAAAAATAAATAGATCTCCAAGCATTTTACATAAACTAGTCATTAAAAATAACAATTAAAACAGTAACCAAATAAAAAAAGTCAAGCTGTAGAAAAGATCAACAGATTTTTAAAACAAACATGATAAAAACCACTTTTAATGTGCTATAGTCATAGATCTATCTTTGATGAACTTGCATGATCATTTTGAAAGGAGTTTCCAACTCAAGAAATTACTTCTTCCTCTTGGCTTCTGCTGAATCCTGCCCCACTGTCACTCAGCTCTACAGCTCACACTTAGCACAACTTCCCTCTACAACTGATAAACACACTTAACATCAGGTTGTTGTTGTTTAGTCGTTTAGTCGTGTCTGACTCTTCGTGACCCCATGGACCAGAGCACGCCAGGCACTTCTGTCTTCCACTGCCTCCCGCAGTTTGGTCAAACTCATGCTGGTAGCTTCGAAGACACTATCCAACCATCTCATCCTCTGTCGTCCCCTTCTTGTGCCCTCCATCTTTCCCAACATCAGGGCCTTTTCCAGGGAGTCTTCTCTTCTCATGAGGTGGCCAAAGTATTGGAGCCTCAGCTTCATGATCTGTCCTTCCAGTGAGCACTCAGGGCTGATTTTCTTCAGAATGGAGAGGTTTGATCTTCTTGCAGTCCATGGGACTCTCAAGAGTCTCCTCCAGCACCATAATTCAAAAGCATCAATTCTTCGGCAATCAGCCTTCTTTATGGTCCAGCTCTCACTTCCATACATCACTACTGGGAAAACCATAGCTTTTACTATACGAACCTTTGTTGGTAAGGTGATGTCTCTACTTTTTAAGATGCTGTCTAGGTAGTGACACTAACACTAACATCAGGTAGTGAGACTGAAATTTCCTACACTGGTGTCTGCCTACAGAACATGATTTTATGACAATGAAATCCCCTGTATGCCTGGGTAATTGGCTAGGTCCATTTCAGCAATGCTAACACTGCTGGGAGGAGAGAAATTGCCTGACATAAGTTGGTAGGGAAAGGAGAAAGAGTGGCGCCTGCTGCTCCCTGAGGAAAACATTAAACATTTTTTTAAAAAAATATGCTTAATTTACTATTAACCCAGGAGACAGAACATTTCTTCTCTCTCTGGAAAATACTGCACATTTTATAGCTTCTTAGGAAAGACTTTTAATTTTCCCCATCCCACTCTGAACGCCTCACAGAATGTACATTTCTAAAAGCAAAAAGCTATGTTGAATTTTAAAACAACAGACATGCAAAATCCACAGTAGGCAGAAGATGCTTGAGGTAAAGTGGCATGGACAGAGAAATTAATAACTTTGTTTGGCCCCCACCCCTGGCTGAGTTACTGCTGTTGCAATGCTGTGGGGATTATTCCTTTAAAATGTCAACATATCCCAGTCAGTTTCATCCATGTATGCGTGTATCTGCTTGAAATCTATGGAGCTGAACTAGCACCATTTTGAACCCAAGCTGGGCCTGGTAACATCCATGGGCTCCAACTCCTTTCCTCTCCCACTTTGCTTCTTAACACCCTGTCAGATTGACACATAAACTGACTGCCACTTGCGATTTTGAAGAATGCTTTCCCAAGATGCACCTCAGCTGAAATGCCCCCGAGGAACAAAACAAAGATGAATCGCTTGGCTGAAAGGCATCTAGTGAACAATGAGTTTTATTCATTTGTATTGCAGCCAGGCTTGGAGCAAGCAGAGCAGCAGCACCAGGTTATTTGGCAGCTAGTAGAGGAGGGAAACCATCCTACAAGCTCAGCTCCCTGCACTAAAGTGAGCATGGGGTGCACGTATGGAGAGGCTAACTGGGACTATTTTAACCCGCGTTATAGGGCTGTTGTGGGGATTAAACACCTCTGCCCTCTGCTCCTTGGAGCAAGAGCAAGCTATAAATGTGATAAATATTTAAAACATTGCAGCCCAACAGCACATGACTAACATTACCCCTCATTTCAAAACTATTTTACTGTACAGAATAAACACCCGAATTCTGGTATCCCTAATGGCCAATCTAGAGATGCCTGTGTTTATTCAGCACACTCTTTCCCTTTCAACTACAAAATGAGGCGAGACCTTTTTATATCAACCTGAGAATCTGGGAAGGGAAGTGAAACTTGCCCTCTCTCCCACCTTGGATGCTTTAAGCTACATTCCCCCAATCCAGCACACACAATCCAGTACAGAACTAGAAGAAGCAGCTTAAAGCAGCGAGGTGTGGGATCACTCCTGAGTGCTCATATTGATATTTTAAAAATAGAGCCCTCCTATTCCCATAAGTAAATAGGCAACGATGCACATGGCATAAGGCATACCCTGCAACATTTCTCAGATGAAAATAGGGGCATCCTATTCAATTATTATTATTATTATCATTATTATTATTTTATATGCTGCCCATATGGCTGGGTTGTCCTAGCCACTCTGGATGACTTCCAACATGAATAAATCACAATAAAGCATTAAACATTAAAAAAAACCCTTCCCTTCAGATGCCTTCTAAAGGTTGTTTAGTTATTTATCTCTTTGGCTTGGGGATCACATAGCCAGCTTTTTATGTTCCTATGGAACTCCCTCCAACTGGACGCAGTGATGGCCACGAGCCTGAATGGCTTTAAAAGAGGAAAGAGGTTGGCAGAAGCATCACTAGGGGTTGAGCCAGTGGGCATAAATTCCAGGTGTCAAGTGCCTAAATCTCCACCCACCTCCAATATATCATCTATATCATCTATATCTAATCTATATCTATATCATCTTTATAGCTGATTATAGGCATCCGATGATAGACAGATGGCAGGGAGGAGATAATGCTTGGGGTTGGACTACTTGACCCTTTGGGTCCCTCCCAACTCTACAATTCCATGATTCTTTGCCAAGTTGGATTATTCTTCCATCTGGTTTAGTTTTGCATACACTTGACTAGTGGTGACTCTCCAGGATTCCAGACAGGGCTCTCTAGCAGTCCTACCGAGGAGATGCCAGGGATTGAACCTGGAACCTTCTGCATGCAAGACAGATGCTCTGCCACTGAGCTACAGCCCTTCTCTAATTTGGTTTGGCTTTTTCCAGTCTAGGACTTGGCCCATGTGCCAAAACTCATTTACAGCGTGACTCCATACCTGTTTATGAATTAGGTCTTACTTCTGTACAACTGTGCATAGGATTGCTGCCGCCCGCTGGAAAGTTACTGTCATTGTGTTTGCCCAGCGATGGGGACCATGGAGGTCCAAGGCATGGAGGTCCAAGAGGCAGTGCACCTCTGTCCCTCATCATGTAGCTTTGCAAACCAACCCAAGGAACTTTAGTTGCAAAAAAAAAAAAAAAGTGTGGCAGGGTGCAAGTGCCACCCACGTCAGCCAGCCGAAGCAATCCTGACATGGCAGCTCTGACAGGCACTAATTAAACTGATCTGGGTTCTACGTGGTGTGATCCTTTGCTCAAAGGAAGGATGTGAAGCAGGCATAAAGAGCAGCACGGCGGAGGAAATGGGAGAGCAGGAGCACCTAGACGCATCAATAATTCAGATAATGCCAGCAGCAACAAAGGGAAAGAGGGACCAGAACTAGGAGAACAGAATATCATAAAGCTTTTTAATGGTCTTTTTCTATTAATGTCAGCTCGGTGACCATTTTTCAAGGGGTGGAAGTTTTCCAAAACTCCGGTGGAATCTAGCAACAAAAGCTAAACTGCACCTCCCCTCCATGTGGTTGTAATTCATGGTCTCGGAAGTGGAATGTGATTGGTGCTGCTTCAAAGTGCTGCTCCATTTTAAGGAGGTTTTTTTTTTAAAGGAAACCTGGGGAATTAGTACATTCATGGTGCAAGAAACCGGTGGCCTTGTCACAGTGAGTGGTGGGTGGTTAAGAGTATAGGCTGGAAAGCCTTTGAATTTTCTCTTTATCTCACCTTTCCACAGGCAGGCTCAAGTTAGCTTGCAAAAATCCTCTCCTCATTCTACATGAGACTCAAATCTACTTCAGAGGGTCCCACAGCCCTATATGGGGCATATTCTGAAGGTGAGGGTGGCAGAGGAGAGGAGAGGAAGTTCCACTGTGCAAGTGGAAGTCTGATGTGCAGGTGGAATGGCAGCATTGGCTATACAGTGGTACCTCGAGTTACAAAAGCCTCAGGTTACAAACTCCGCTAACCTGGAAGAGGTTGAGAACTTTGCCCCAGGATGAGAATGGAAATCGTGTGCCAGCGGCACAGCGGCAGCAAGAGGCCCCATTAGTGAAAGTGCACCTTAGGTTAAGAACAGTTTCAGGTTAAGAACGGACCTCCGGAATGAATTACCGTAAGTTCGTAACTAGAGGTACCACTGTAGCACATAATTTTTATTCTGTGCTCTGATTATGATAATAATAATAATAATAATAATAATAATAATAATAATTTATTATTTGTACCCCGCCCATCTGGCTGGGTTTCCCCAGCCACTCTGGGCGGCTTCCATAGAAACAAAAAATACAGTAAAATATCACAGATTAAAAGCTTCCCTGAACAGGGCTGCCTTAAGATGTCTTCTAAATGTCAGGTAGTTATTTATCGCTTTGACATCTGATGGGAGGGCGTTCCACAGGGCGGGCGCCACTACCGAGAAGGCCCTCTGCCTGGTTCCCTGTAGCTTTGCTTCTCGCAATGAGGGAACCGCCAGAAGGCCCTCGGCGCTGGACCTCAGCGTCCGGGCAGAACGATGGGGGTGGAGACGCTCCTTCAGGTATACTGGGCCGAGGCCGTTTAGGGCTTTAAAGGTCAACACCAACACTTTGAATTGTGCTCGGAAACGTACTGGGAGCCAATGTAGGTCTTTCAAGACCGGTGTTATGTGGTCTCGGCGGCCGCCCCAGTCACCAGTCTAGCTGCCGCATTCTGGATTAATTGTAGTTTCCGGGTCACCTTCAAAGGTAGCCCCACGTAGAGCGCATTGCAGTAGTCCAAGCGGGAGATAACCAGAGCATGCACCACTCTGGCGAGACAGTCCGCGGGCAGGTAGGGTCTCAGCCTGCATACCAGGTGGAGTTGGTAGACAGCTGCCCTGGATACAGAATTGACCTGCGCCTCCATGGACAGCTGTGAGCCCAAAATGACTCCCAGGCTGCGCACCTGGTCCTTCAGGGGCACAGTTACCCTATTCAGGACCAGGGAGTCCTCCACACCATAAAACTTTGCATTCTCATAAAGCTTTGGGGACCCAACATGGAGTTAATCCCAGATGGGCTTAGTGCTCTGCCTACTCTGCAAGTTTGCAGCAAAATAGTGGTCAGGCACTGAGTCAATGTGACCACCAAGCATCCAAATGGACAGTTCATACCAACTCTCCTTTAAACTGAGTCTCCTTCCTTTAACAATTAAACTTTGAAAACATTTATAGAATAGATTCAGCATGAGGAGACAAAACAAGAATTGCATTGCTCACCATTACCAGAAACATCATAGGCACTATCAAACACCCAGCCACATTCCGCACAGCACTCCAAATATCAGTAGATGTGCTAACTGAGAGAAGAGCTAGGTTATTGCAGAAACAAAATACTGCAATTTGAATTCTTGGAATATGCAGTTTATCTGTAACATGAGCATTGTGACCAAATCCTTTATGGCATCTGAATAAAGCATCCTCCAGGAAGGCCCTCAGAGACCTCTGTCCTCCTTGCTTTGTATAGGATGCCAAAGTAGCCGTTGGACTAAAGTTGCTTCTTGTACTGCAATTGCTACAGTTAGGATTGGGCTGCCGGTAGCTGCTGTGTCATAAACTATTTAATAACAAGCATTACATATATATGCTCACACGTGCATAGGCACACGCACATGGCTAATATACAAGAAAATCAATTCAGAAAGACTTGCCAATGATTTACCTAATCATTGCTCTGGGTAACTACAACACATAGCGGGTGGTGGTGATCTTAACAACTAGGACTGAATTCATCCCAAATATACAGGCTAAAACCACTCCTTGTGTTCCTTTCATTTCCTATTCATGGAAAGTGTCTGCTGAGCATTCTGTCATGAATTCCACTGGGACTATGCATTAATCACATTGGCATTGTTAACAGAACCGCACAAAGGCTGTTTTGGTTTGCAAGGCAAGAGATACCTTATAAACATCAAGAGGTGGTGCCAACAGAGGGAAACACGATCTAGTCCACAGAAAATCCCCCCTCCCAGTTTTATCAATTTTAATGATAAAATTCAAGTTTTGCTTGAAAATTCTTGTGGCCAAGCATTGGGAAGGGGAAAGGAAATAGCAGATTATCTGTTAATCTGATTATGCAGATTCAGGATAATCTCTTGAGTTTGGGAGAAATACAGTTGGCCAACTGTACATCACTATTGGACACCTCTCTCACACCCTCTCTCTCCCTTCAACCTTTTCACACCCTCTCTTCTCTCAAACATACACAATTTGTAGTATGTTTTGATCTACCTTTCACCCATTATACCGTTTTAGCCCACTGCATTATGCCAGTCACAGCACCCCAACATCCACCCAAAATAACTGAAATATTATTTTATTCAGGAATTTGCAGGTGTCATATAGTCAGAAAAGCAGGTTGCCTGCCCTATCCATCCCCAAATAGTTGCTTCTCTCTCTCTTTCTCTTTCTCTCTCTCTTACACACACACACACACACACACACACCCTGCTGTTCTTTCTGTGTTCATCTGCCAGCTGAAGGTTGCCCACAGTCCGAAATAGGACTTGTGGGTCTCCCATGGCAGATGCTGCCACTGCTGTAGTCTGGAGACCCTCCAGACAGCCCAGGGCAAAATTTTTAATTCAGCATCAAACTTCAGCCTGAAATCTGGGAGAAAAAATGACAAGATGTCAATGTCTCTGAACCTATTTAGCTGCGCTTGAAACTTCACTGATCTGGATCAGAAAACTCCAGATAATAGGTTATAATTGTAAGCTTCCTCAGAGGCTCTGAGAGCTTTGTGCACTGGTTCTCATTGCCTTGAAGGTCAATATGACAGGGACTTTAAAGAATTAAACATGCTTCATTTTCACAGGAAGCTAAAGCAAGCAGCTTTGATAGTGATAATAACTCCAAAGGCCCTGAAAAAGAACAAGGGGCTTGGCCCCATAATACCTTCAAGAGACCTGTAAGGGAATCACAGCTGTTTGATACTATTAATGCTTCTCACCCACAGGATATTTTCATCGTACAAAGTGCTTTCCAATTGTGTCGCTGTATTTCACTCTCACAAAAATCCATTTGGGCAAACTGTCACCATTTGGAAAGTGAGTCTTTGCAGAAGTTGAGGCCAGAGGCAAAGACAATATTACAAGCCACCATTCTTTTAGAACTTTGCTCCTTAACATGTAATCAATCATAGAATGCTTCAGCAGCCCCAAAATAATTCAAGGTTCGTCATCACATTTGATGCAGACAGACTTGCAAAATTCTCAGGCCCAGTTTGAAATAAGAAATACATAATGGCGGTACTCTACCATGTTTTACTCAGAGTAGACCCACTGAAATTAATTGAAGTGACTCACTTAGGCTGGTTAATAGGTCTGCTCTAGGTAAAACATAGTTGAATACCACACTTGCACATGTTCAAATGTGAGGTGATTAGAAGTCTGTACATATTCTTTAAAATGCACTCGTCTAGTGTCGGAGAGAATACATTGCTAGCAAACATGGGGGGGAAAGTAACACAGACCATCTTCTGTCAAAAACCCATGAATTAAAAGTGTAGGTAAAAGAGATGCATGTAGGCAATTGTATATTTGTGCATGTATCACTTGTTTGTATATGGTATTGCCTATTCAGGAGACTAAAATATTATTATGGCTGCAGGGAGCTGTTCCTTTGTTAGGGTGATTGCTTGCTTATGGCCCAGGTGGCCGATAGTTGACATTATTTCAATGGACACTAATGCCTGAGATTATTGTGTGGAGAGCTTCAGAAAGTGCTTTGAGAAAGTGACTACCTTTCTTAAGGGGAGGGGGTCATTTATATGTGCATGTAACACAGGGGAACCCAACATGGGGCCAAGGCTCCTCGCTCCTCCCAATTTTAGGCCTTTTCT